CGGTTGGTTCGGGAGAAATCCGTCTTCAGTTGGAGATATCAGGTTGCTGGAAATAAGGTGGTCTAGGATAGCTCGCTCCAAAATCCGTTCCCTCAACCTGCACGGCACGCTAGTGAGGCTTATAGGCCTGTGGCTGCCAGGCGATAGTCGGTCACCAGTTTTGTATATTGGCGTGACAATCGCTTCCTTCCAAGCTGAGGGAAGGCGACCTTCGCCAAGCGACTGATGAAACACCAGGTAAAAATTACTTGCCAGTGTAGAAGACGATTTCTTCAGGATCCTTGGATGGACCTCGTCGGAGCCCAACACCCAGAGAATGTTGAGCTTGTGCAAGAGTTGACGAATGCTATCCACCGTGAAGGGTAAGTTTGTTAGAGGCCGTTGGTAGTTAAACACTGTCAAGAGTGGATGTAAAGTGGATGCTGGTGCTGAGTACAGACACGCATAGTGTTCTCTGTAAGCCTCAGATACCACTGCTGGGTCATTTGTCGGTTCTCCGTTTCTGTCCCTCAAGGAGATGGCTTGTTTCTGCGGCGATGTCTCATGTACTTGAACAGTACGTCTTTGTTTTTTCGAGCGAGGTCCAGAATGTTGGCATGTTTACGTATGTTCCTTTGGCGGATTTCCGATTTATAGCCGATCCGCATTTTACGAAATGCCAACTAATCTTCTGTATCCCCTGTGGTCAACTTTTTGAAAAAGAGTTGGGATCTTTTTTCCAGAAGTCGCCGAATCCTTTTTAGCAGCCTGCGGTTCATCCGAGTGCGTGCTGGTGTTTTTGGGACGAACGTCGCGTCAGTCACGTGAAGTTTCGAGACACTGGTCCTACATAATTCTTCCACTGAGACTGGTCCCAATTTAACTTGCTCAAGAAAGATGCGCACTGCTGAGGAGTCTGCACGACATAAGTTTCCAAACCACGTTTTAGGTTCGGGATTTCTGGCCCAGTAGCAGGTGAAATCCAAGGTCAGCACAAAGTGGTCGCTATGTTGTAGTGGAGCGTTAATTGTTTCCTGACCAACGAAGTGTCTTTCGCCATTGATGACCAAATCCGGCGGGGATGGTAGTTGACCTGCGAAGTATCTGGTGAGTGCAACGACATGTTGAGCCCAAGCGCTCTGTTGTACGACTTCAATCAGCGCCGCTGCAAAAATTCCGTCTGATTCAACGCGCTGGAGCTCCATTCAGGAGTCATTTGGGGCGCTCAAATCACCCACCAGCAGGAGATGAGTAAAGTTGTAGTTGGAGGAGAGTTTCTCAAGCGTTTGTGCGAGGACTTGGTCATCTTCAGGGGGACTCGAAAGTCTACGGTAGACCACACCGAAAAGGAGAGAATCGGACTAACGCAGCAGGATTTGGACCTACATTGCATCGAAAAAAGGTGCAGTAGTGGTACCAGAGAGGATAATCGGGATTGGTAGGGCCGCATGTTAGTACAGAGCAACCCCACCAGCCCTCCCTCGTTTTGAGACAGCTCGAAAAATAGTGACCGCCTATCGAGACCTCCGC